GAGGGCAGTGTCACTGGCCCTCATATGTGGGATCCGAACCAGGGTCCTCTGGCGTCCCAAGCCAGTTCTTAAACATCGCGCCACTCGGCCGGCCCTGTAGCCTTTTCTTTCTGTTTGTTTTTAGTAATTCATTCAGCAAAAGCAGTTTGAGGGTCCATTTTGTATCAGGGACCTCATAAGTGGTATTGAATAAAGCAAGAGTTCCTGCCTTCTGGGATCTCACACTGCAATGGCCACTTCGGATGGGACGTCTTTGTCAATCTTTTTAACTGTCTTTGAACAATCAGGTTCTTTATTGATCAGTTTCCACCTTAGATGTTGGGAGGATGATAGCAATTGGTGGGGAGAGAGTGGGAGCCCCCGTTGCTTGGAGGTCACCTAATCAGGGAGCGCGTAAATTTGAATACGTTTTCAAGCAAAAGTACCAAGAGAAAAAATCCAATGAAATGAGAAAAGAAAGTTGCTGTGAACCAAGTTACGCCATTTAACCAGGAAGAGAAGATGCTAGTTGACCTCAAAGCCTTGATGAGCACACACTCAGCCTCTCTTTCTGTGAAGCCGGAACATATGTTCTCTTCTTGTAAAGATTGTATTAACTAATAATGGGGCATGTTACCAGGCCCCTTGTTTAGATTTGTTTATTTTTAATTATCTAATAAAGCTCAAGCAAAGCACAGAGAGCAAATCCAGGTTTGTTTGTGTTTTTTTTAAAGACACCTGATATTACAGCTTGTGTTGAACAGAACTCTTCTGATTAGACTGTTGCCACTAGAAAACTGTCTCTCAGTCACAATCTGTGGATTTGAAGTGAGTACATAATTGTTTACTAAATGAATAATGCAATTTATGGTTGGCATATCCTCTTATTCATCTTTCTGGGTCTTTTGTTTGAAGGCATATTTTCTTTTGGTTTCTTCTGATTTGTTTTTCCTACTTTTTCTGTGTTTTCAATCTGCTGAGACTGACTAGTCTGAAACTCACACTCATCGTTTCCCTCATTTTGTCCCATCCTTCAACCTTGCTGTTTTCTTATTTCCCTAGTCTTCAAGCAATCTATTAACTTCCACTTCCTCTGTGCTCAAAAGTCACTTGGAAGCCTCTTTTTTTTTTTAATTTCTTATTATCTAGTCAGATTTCAGGAACTTCATATTGTACATCCAAATTGTTTTTGCCGCTGTTTGCCTCCTTTCATCCACACTCTCAGCATCCTGCAGCCTCATTCCCTCGTGCCTGAACTATCACAACATGCTAACATGGTCTCTCTCTCGGGTCCTGCTGTTGGGTCCTTGGGACAGGTGAGACGGGGAGCTGCTGGGGCTGGGGAGGAAGGGTTTGTGGGCCGCACCTTGCCTCCCGTCTTCCCAGCACACTGACCTCCACAATCCATATTCCACGTGGGTCCACCCTCTCCCATATGCAGGGTCCCCCTCGGTGAGCACACGGACCAGCCAGGTGCTGGCGACCACCACCTCGACTCCAGCTCGGCCCTGGGTGGTGGCGTTATGAGCAGGCACAGCAGGGCCACACGGCCCACCGGTGCAGCACCGCAGCCTCACGGGGAGGCCGCCCACAGCCCTGGTCTCTTCCTGGCCTCTGGTCAGGGGGCTGGCAATGGCCCCTGGGGACGTCAGGACGGTGAGGTCAGGCCCTACTGTGGGCGGGCCGTGTGTCCTGTCCTGTGTGGACGTTGCCCTGGGCAAACATCATGCTGTCACTCCCAGCTGTCCCTGCCAGGCTCCTGCCCCCAGCCTGGGAGCTGGGAGAGGCTGCAGGAAAAGGCCCAGGTGCTGGAGTTGGGCGTCGCTTTACCCTCATGGCCACAGCTCTGACCTCGCCTCCTGGCTCTTCCCCCGCTCTCTGCACACCTTGCCTCTCTCCTCAGAGTCCGCACTGAGAGCCTCACCAAGAGCCAAGGGGTCGAAGCCCTCCAGGCCCCATCACCCCATCTGCCCGCCCCAGGGCTCTGTCCTCCCGGCCCCCCGCCCACAGCCAGCGCTCCCCTTCTCTCTCACCTGTTCCGCCAGGAGGGCCAGGCTCTCTCTCAGGGCATACAAGCAGGTGACGGGCGTGGTGTGATGGTATCTGCAAGGCAGGAAGGGGCTTGGTCCGGCGTCAGCGGGCAGGGGCGGTGCAGTAACTCGGTCTACGCCAGCCCCAGCTGGGACAGACTCCCTGACCACAGGGCCAGCGCCCTTCCCCGTTTGGGAATTGTGGACTCAGAGCTGGAAGCGCAGGTGCATCTCGGGGAGCAGGGCCCAGAGGGGTCTGCCAGGCGCAGAGACACGGTGCTGGCTCCTAGCTCGTCGCCAGGTCCCCCTTAGCCCCAGTGGCCCCTAGAAGCTCACACTGCACCCACTGAGCCCACTGGGTAGGGCCCAATTCCTGGTGTCCCCATCCCCATGTATGGCATAAGGGGCCTTGGGTTACGGCCACAGCCAGCTCGCAGAGTGCCCTTGGTTCATCCCTTTCTTTGAGCTGTGGAATGGGGAGACGTGGTCAGCTCCAAAGTGCCCGATGGTGCAGGGGGACTTCTGGGAAAGGATGGGGGGCAAGCCGCTGCCCTGAGCCCCCAGGCCAGGAAGGAGCGGGGCAGCCCGGGTGGGGGCGCTGATGGCGGCTCAGAACCCAGTGAGTGAAGCTGAGGCGGGACTGGGGTAGTGAGAGGTCCCCCAGGCCCCCAGCCACACCCAGTGCGTCCCACCCTCGCCCAGCCCTCACGTCCTGGGCTTGTCGTCACAGCCCCAGAAGTTGGCCAGCCACTTGACGTCCATGTAGAAGGAGTAGGGCTTCGTCTTCCGCGCGTAGATCTTCTTTCTGGGGAGGAAACCCAGCCTGAGCTTCTGCCTGTCTGGCCAGAGAGCCTGCGGGGCCATCTTGCCAGGCCCTTCTGTTTCGCAGAAGTGAGCAGAAGGGTGAGAACCCCAGGAAGAGAGCCAGAGGGGTGGGGAGCCCCAGGACAGGCCCGGGTGAGTTGTGGGCCCCTTGGGTAGCCCAGCCTTGCTGGCCCTTGGGCCTGGCCTGCGCCTTTGCCACTGGTGTGACTCTGTCACGTGGGGATCTGGCCTGTCCCTCCCTCCCTGGGCCCCTTCGTGGCGTCGTCCTGCCTCGTCCCCCAGGTCGGCAAAAGGTGACCACCATTTAAAGGCAGGAGGGTCTGTTGCCTTGGTGAGTCCAAACATATCAAAATGATGGGGGGAAACTGAGGCTCGGGCCTCGCCTGTCCTGGAGGTCACTGCACCTTAGGGTATAAACTGTGAAGCTGAGATGTCATGGAGGGGCTTCTCAGGCACCCTCACTTTCCTGGGCTGGGCAAGTCCAGATTGGCCTGAGCAGACTGGGCCTCTCCACGAGCTCTGGTCTCAGACCCAGCCACCTCCTCGACCCCCTACGCTTGTCTCAGACTTCTCGTCTACACAGAATTCCTGACCTTACCCCAGTTATCTCTGTTCTGGAATGCCAGGCCCTGCACCCCACACACAAGCTCAGGCTCCATGAGACGTATCTTCTGGAGGCCAGCCTGGCCAGGCCATTCGCCCCACACCATGGCCCTCACCATGCCCCAGCCACCCTGCTCTGAGAACCAGAGCTTTGGCAGACATGTCAGGGTGGGCGCCGGTCTGGAGTGGGCACCTGTCTGGGGTGGTCACCTGTCTGGAGTGGGCACCTGTCTGGGGTGGGTAGGGAGCATTCTAGGGGTATCCCTGAGCACGACCCAAGATGCCAGTCCCTCCTTTGCTCTGCTCGTCTCTCCTAGGGTCCATCTGGCCTCACTGCACGTCCAGCCCTGGGTTGGGGTCCAGGGGTCACTCACTTGGCCTTGTCACTGAAGGAGATGAGCGAGGTGCCTGGGGGGGCATTCAGGCACTTCTGGGAGCCCGTGTACAAGACGTCGATGCCTGTGGGGAGAGGGGACACAGGCTCACGAGGGGCCAAGGACGGGGTCACTCCAGCAGGGGTGTCCCTCCAGCCCAGCACCCAGCAAATCAAACACAAGTTTTGGGTAACCTGGGGCCCTGCCATGCAACTGGTCTGACGTGAGGGGGACAGCCTTGCGGGACCAAGCCTGTAACCCGTGGGGTCTGACGCGATCTCCAGGTAGATGGAGTTAAATTGGGGGACACCCAGTTAGTGTGTGCCTGGTGTGGGGAGAGCCGCAGTCTGGTGTCAGCAGTGAGTGATAGTGTAGTGGGAGCAGAGCGGAGAGGAGAAAGTGAAAGCATTTCTTTTCACACCTTGAAGTCCTGGTGCTGGGACCTTTCATAAAAAACTCACAGCTTCACCACCAGGGGAGGCCTGTGGTTCTAGGCAGCAGTAAGCGGGGAGGAGGCGGAGGATGGGGTGCTGCTCCGCCTTAGGACTTCTTAGGGGCCCGAGGGGGCGGTGCCAGTGTACCCCACTGGTGTAGGCAAGCATGTTCCTGTTTATTCCTAAGAGCCTAGGGCTGGAAAGAACCCAAAAGTCTCCCAAGAGGAGGGAGAAGTGTGGTGTGTTCGCATCGTCGATGAAAACTGAAGAGCGACAGCTCCCACCACAACGGCGAGTCTTACCGATACCACGTTGGGGTCTACAGACGCACGAACCCACGCGGTGCCGGGAGGGCAGAGGCAGGGAGGGAAGGTGTCTGGGCTCGAGTTCTGCCCTGCTGCTCTGTGGGGTCTCAGGCTGGGGCCTCTTAGTGGGGCCCCTTCCACCACGACGGGGATGGGGGGGCCGCTAGCCCGGGAGATGCAGGGTGGCATCTTGGGGACAGCCCTGCCACCCCTCACTGNCCATTGTGCTGAGCTTGATACATAGATTTAGTGCAATTCCCATCAAAATCCCAGCAAGCTCTAAACAAGATGATTCTAAAACTTATATGGAAATTCAAAGGATCCAGGGTAGGAAAAACAATCTTAGAACAAAACTGGAGGACTTGCACACCTTGATTTCAAGGCTTATTATAAAGCTGCAGTATTTAAGGTAGAATGGCACTGACACAAGGTTAGATAAATACAACAAAACAGGATGGGGGAGGCCAGAAACAGACCTGTACACGTGGTCGATTGATAAAGTAGCCAAGTCAATTAGATGAGGAAACTTAGTGTGTGACAAATGTTGCTTGAACGACTGGGTGTCATCAGCCTGGATAAAATCGAACCGTGACCCATTTGCCACTGTATGCACAAAATTAAGTGATGTGGATCATAAACCTGCACATAAAAACTGACACTGCTCTTTCTAGAAGAAAACAGAGGAAGATATCTTCAGGACTGCAAAGTAGGCAAACGTTTCCTAGACAGGATATAAACAGCACAGACCACTGGAAAAACAAAAAAACACGGATACGTAGGACTTCATCCAAATTTAAAATATCTGCTTTTTGAAAGACATGACTAAGAAAATGAGTAGGCAAGCCACAGAATAGGAGAACATACTCATGTACACGTATCTGATCCAGAATCTATCAAATAACTCCCACAAATCAACAATAAAAAGATGAAAATCAAATAATGAGAGCAAAATACCTGAGCCCGACACTTCTCAAAAGAAGATACACGAATGGCCAACAAGCACATGAAGAGGTGCTCAACACCACGAGTCATAGGGAAACGCACATTGAAGCCAAGTTANACAGAGTGAGCAGTGAGCCACCCCTGACCTGGCACACGGGCCAGGAGCCAGTGCTGGGGACAGCAGCCGCGCTGAGCAGCCAGGTGAGGACAGGGACCTGCCACCCCCGCCCCAGCCACTGCACGGAAGATGGGGTGTGCTCAGTGAAGCTGCTCTTTGTGAACTGAGGCTTCGGGGTGCCCTGGATGAGAGCGGTGTCAGGCTCAGCTCCACTGTCCCTTCCCCGAGCCCAGCCAGCTGGGCGTCCCCAGCAGTCCTATGCTAGAAATAAACAAGTGTTTGCGCAGGACCGACTTGGCAGGTGCTTCTCGGCAGAGGGTGGCTGTGGAGGGGCCCCGGGTTCGATGAAGGAATGACGGAAGGAGTGAATGGGCGAGGGAGGGCCTGGGCAGGCTTTGCCCCCTGTTGGGGTTAGGGGACTCCAAGGAAAGAGGCCCTCATCCTTCTCCCTCTTTCGGGCCCCTGAGCCCCCTGCACATGGAGCCCCAGAGCCATATGTAGGAGGGGTGGAGGCCCCAGGACCGTGCAAGCCTCAGGCAGAGCCCGAGGCCAGGGGTGTGGGATGGGGGCCGGGGCCTGTCAGGCCGGGCAGCAGCGGGTAGTCAGAGCCACTGCAGCGTGGTGCCGAGGTCCGCCTGGGGTTGTGGCCTCTGGGACCCTTGCAAACCAGTGTGTGGACTAAAGGGGACCAGGTGAAGTGTCGGGACCCCCTTGAGCTCTCAGTTGTCCATCAACCAGATGGGGTTCGGCCATGTATGGAGCTGACCAGTGCAGGAGCTGCCAGGCGTTTCCAAACACTGGCTCGGACGTTAAACCCGGGGCTCACCCTGCTTTTGGTTTTTGCGTCCCTCTTTAGAAATTTCATCCTGGAAGTGGAGCCCTGGCCTCCATATTTTGTGGCTCCAGAAAGAGAGGTGTTTCTGGGACTTCGAGGGGGAATTTCAGCCTGTGAAACTCTGTCGTGTGGCAGAGCAGAGGTGACACCTGGGGACCCCAGGGAGCTGAGGCTAGAGTATTTCCTGCAGTGCCCTCCCTGCATGTGCTCCAGAGATAGCTGTCCCCAAACTCGGGTACACCAAGGAGATGGGGCCCCTCGAGCACCCGGGCTGGCCAAGAGGTAGAGGCCACAGAGAGGAGAGGGGGGGCAAGGTTGGTGCCTGAGGTGGGGGGCCAGGTGTCCAGCCTGAGGTGGGGGGCACTTGGGGCAGGACGGAGCGGGGCCACACTCCACCCTTTGCCCTCGCCCTTACCGACACGCTCGCCGATTTCAGCCGCCCGCTGCCCCCAGATGCCGTTGACCCCGGCCAGGAAGGAGTCCCCGGGCTCCAGGAGGTTGACCAGGGCGGTCTCCAGGACACAGTGTCCCGAGCCGCTAACGGCCAGCGTGAGGGGGTTCCTGGTCTGGAACACGTACTGGATGCCTTGCTTGATTTCGTCCATGATCTGGGGGTGGTGGGCGTACAGGTCAGACCCGCTCTGCTGCCCTCCCCGCAAGGGGCAGGCGGCTCGGGGACTGACCACTGCCCCTGAGACCCACCTGGTACATCTCCTTGTGCATGTGCCCGATCATCTGCAGGCTCCCAGTCGCCAGGACGCGCGGAGCCAGGTTGGAGGGGCCCGGCCCCAGCAGGAGCCGTTTGGGCACGGACAGGGGCTTTCGCAGGACCTCCGGGGGAGCCACCAGCAGCTGGTGCGAAGCCATGGTCCGCACCCAACCTGCCGCCCGGGGCCCCAGGGCCGCACTGGCCGAGGTCAGCACGCGCAGCATTTCCCAGCTGGCCCCGCGCTGGACGCTGGACGGCCGTGTCAGAGGTGAGGCCTGACGGATGGGCCCCCACTCCGCGCTGCCCGCCTGCTGGTGTTGTTAGCTGACCCCTGTTAATGCTTAATCCTGCCTGTCGGGGCCTGGCAGCCGGGGTGTTGAACCCTCTGCAGGGGGAGGAGGAGCGTCAGGGTCCAGTCGATGAAAAACAGTCTGGAGAGCTGTCCCCGGCTTGCCGGCCCCTCCTCGGGGCTCCTCGCAGCTGCCGGGGGTGGATGCCCAGCCCAGTGCTCTGCTGGGCCCAGAGGGCCCCAGAGTTCTCCCTAAAGCCCCAGAGAGCAAATAATTCAGGCTCGGCAGGCCTTACAGTCTGCGTTGCACATTCTCAAGCCTGTTGTTGAGGGAAAAAGCAGCGGCAGTGGTGTGGCTGTGTGCCAATTACACTTTATTTACAACACAGTCTGTGGGCCAGATTTGATCCAGGGGCCACAGTTTGCTGCTCCTGGCTCAGCTGAGGGAAAGGCTCAATTTAGAAACTATATATGCCCTGTGTGTATAGACACACAGACGCCCACACTAAAGACACGGTGGTCCTGATACTTTTGGAAATCAGTATTTGCTCCGCCCCTCCGTGCCGATGGGCCCTGAGGTTTGACTTTCACACGTGGAACCAAGGGCGTGTGCGCGGGACACCTCCGCATGCTGAGTCGACAGGTGTGTGGAATAAACGCAAGTCAAGCCTCCTGCAGAAGAAGCCAGACCCAGCTGAGTGTCCTCCCTGCGGAGCTGCTGTCCTGGGAAGTCAGGGACTTCCTGGGCGTAGTAACCAGGCGCGTCGGGGGCAGCATCCTCTCCCTGGGACCCAGCAGGAGACTTCACAGGCACTCACTCCCCAGCTCTGCAAAGCCCCTCCACTCAACACTCATCGCTGGGGCTGGGATTGTGTGGCCTCCTGGTGGCACAGGGACCCCACCAGTTTTAGCCAGGCTGGACAGTCATAGCCTGAGTCCCTGGGGACCCTCACAGCCCTGCAGGGGTGTTGGCCTCTGTCTATGAAGACAGAGAAGAAATAGGCAGAACACCAGGCCCTGTGTGCTGGGCAGAGAGCAGCCCGGGGTACCTCCGGGCCCCAGTTCCAGCCTGACACTGGCCTCTAGCACAGGGAGGCCCGGTGGGAGCTCCCCGCACCCTTCTTCCCTTCCTCCACCCCTGTCCCCTTCCTCACCCAGCTTGCTCTGCACTAGGACACAGCCTGGCTGCTGCACCCACGCAGCCTCAGAGAGAGAAAGCTGACCTCCCTCAGGCAGCTGACAGGCGGAGCAGAGGAGGCCCACGGTCACCAACAGCCTCCTGGGAGCTGGGAGGACAGGCCTAAAGGGCCCGAGAGCCTAGGGGGGGAGAGCCCCCAGGGGCTGCCAAGGGGCAGTGGGGGGCATCGGAGCTGAGCCTTGGAAAATGGAGCCGTGCGCCCGCCCTGGGGTCCGATGGGGTGACGAGGGTCTTCCGGGCCGAGGGAACTGCAGGGGCTCAGGCACAAAGCTGGGAGGTCTGCGCAGCCTAGGCCTGTGCAGGTCCCCGAGGGAGCTGGCGGCCTCAGGTCCTGCTCCGCCACGGTGTCTGGGGCCTGGCGCTGGCCTGGTGACATCCGTGCAGGACTTGGCCTCTGGAGTCATAGTGAGGGGTCAGCCCGGCCCAGCCTGGTGCTGATCTGCCACAGTCCTGGCGAACGCTCCCTCTGCCTGAGAAGGTCTCAGCCTCGTGGCCATGCCCTGGGCCGTGGGTGACACACTCTACCTTGGGGACCTCCTGCCTTCTGGGAACAAGAGGCCACCCTCCCCGAGGGTCAGTCCCCCTCAGCTCAGGCCTGGCTATGGCCTCCTTGTCTGCAGCCCATGGGGCCTGGGCCCTTCTGTCAGTGACGACAGCCCTTCCCTCTGGGCCCAAGCGCCCTCCCACCTGGGTTGCTTCACCACCTCCCTCTGGCTCAGCTCTTCTGGTCAGGGCATCCCCAGCTCTGTCTCCCTCCTTCTCGCTAGTCCAGGGGTCGGCAAACTGTGGCTCGCGAGCCACATGCGGCTCTTCGGGTCCGTTCCGTCTCAAAAGTTTGCCGACCCCTGGAAAAGCCAATCCTGTCCCTCACAACAATTCAAAAATTATTTGAGAGCCATAAATATATTTTTACATAAACACCATTAGGTGAAGAATATCTTTGAAAAGTTTTATAAATGAAACTATGATAGTTTTATTTTTGTTTTCAGTTTTACTTCAGAGCCACATGTACGTACCCAAAGAGCTGCACTGTGTCTCGTGAGCCGCAGTTTGCTGACCCCTGGCGGCTCTTCTGTCTCAAAAGTTTGCCGATCCCTGCTCTTGTCTAATGTATACATCTGTGCCTTTGCATGTGCTGTTCCCTCTGCCTGTAATGCTTGTCCCTGTCTTTGCTCAGTCCCTCTTCTGCTGTGGTCAAGCCTCTCACCTAGGGAGGCATCTCAACTGCCCAGAGTTCCTCGGAGGCCCCTAAACAAGAGTGAAGAAATAAAATGGGGTTAGTATGGTCAAGCTGCTAAATTATTAACTCCCAGCAGGCTGAAGCCTGAGGACGATTATTCTTGTTTTAACAAACTCTGGGAACTTGAACTTTTTTTTTTTTTTTTGCTATGAACTTTTTTTTTATTAAATTATTTTTTATTATGAAATACACATTTTTTAGAATTAGTTTCAGCTGTACAACACAGTACAATA